GCTTCGAATTTTCCTGCAGAACCGCGCAGTGCCGACTGAGCTGCTGATGAGGGTTATGAGTTACGCGGATTACAAGATGACGCGGCACTCGCCTATTGCCTATGATGCCAGCTTGATCTCGCCTATGCTTGAGGCAGAACTGGCCACATCTCAGTTTGGAGAGGTCTTGAATTCCCATCCATTGTTCGAGTTTGTATCTTCGGTGTACCCTTCCGTCTTTGCAGAATGTTGTCGCGCATTGCACAAGCTATTCTTCTGCGAAGGGGAGTCCGTTTTTAGAGAGGGCTCGCTTGCTGAGAAGATGTACATCAGCAACCATGGCACGTTCCAAGTTCAAGCGGAGGCGTTTCCGAGCAACCAGCTTGTCTTTGAAGATGAGTGCCACTGCTTTGCTGAGATCGCTTTGTATGTCGAGGCTGCCATGCATGGATATAGCTTACACACAGACTCTTTCTCAGAAGTCTTCTCGTTGACAGCGGCTGATTTCGCGAAGATTCTTGTCAATTCTCCTCTGTGCACTACAATGGTTGTAGAGTACGCGAATGAGTACATCAGCCGCTATTCTGCCACATCGAATTCGCCCACGAGCGTTTGGCATCATGTAGAGATAGAGCAGGAGTGCGCCACAGTAGCCTGCACAAGCAACTCCTTCTACTTGGAGGAGCACGTTGATGATCGATTGGTGCTAGAGGCGGTGGACTTGTCACGTATTCGACAACCAGCTCATGAAGCTGGCAAGCGTTCGCTAGCACCGGAGATCAACAACGACAGCAAAGCCGGCTTAGACCCTATTGACTCTGGGTTGCTGTTAAGGAACTTAAATTAAGTTACTATATTGGGGAAACCCTAGTATTTACTATATATACCTAGTATGGTAACTTAATTTAAGTTCCTTAACAGCAACCCAGGACTTCGTGACTTCGGTTGTGCACAGCCAGGAGCCGCTAGAGAGCATCGTGACCAGCCTGCGAGAAGCTTTCGTGGAGCTAGATCCAGAACACGGGCTGCATGCCAGATACTCGGATCCAAAGGAACAGGACAGAGCCGAGTCTGCCATTCTGAGCCTGATTGCCATCATCCGCGGTGACTACAATCTGCCACTTGACATGTAATTCAGGGGTTTTGCAGCGCAGTCCTGCAAAAATATTTCAGAGATGTTGGCTACGAAGCCTTAGGCGACCCAGGATGTCCACAATGGTTTGAGCACGCCTAAGGTACACCGGGCCACAGTCACAACATAATTGCTTGACCGATTCCCAGTGGAACAACTTGCAGGAGCTCTCTGCGTGGAATCCTAAAGCCTAAACCTTTGAACCCATTATAGTAGTTTCCATTTTCTGTTCCATATAACCCCAATATAACCCTAAACCCCAAACCCTAAACCCTAAACCCCAAACCCTAAACCCCAAACCCTAAACTCATGGCATAGGCCGCCCACCTTCGATGGTGGGCGGCGCTTATGCCCCTCGACATCGATGGCGCAG